TCTGGAATAAATCCAATCAATACTTTGTCATACATCCACATTAAGATTCAACACAAGTGAACAGCTCAGCAGTCTGTGTATTTCAGCGGCAGGAGTGAGCAGGCCTCACAAATGGAGTCTTTTGATGTATTGCGTTGGAAATGCAGAGCGCTTTAAGTCTATACAATGTGTGACAGCTCTGTATACTGTGGCTTGTTCAGCAGTATAGGGTGCGCTCGCTGCATTAAATTCACTTTCAGTTGTATCATCGTTATTTGTGAGTGCGAGCCAAGCCTTTGATTAAAGACCGCTGTTTAAATTGACGCTGGAGCTTTATAGCCTTTTACTGTGCCTTACAGTACTGAATGTTATTTTAAGAAATCTTTTCAACCCAAACAAAGTGATGGGTTGAAATAAAAATAAAAGTGCCTGGCTGGGTATGGAGATCGGTGGAGCGTAATTCCTGGAGAGTGCTTTCCCATGTGTGGGCGGGCAGATCAGTTGGACAGGAGCAAGTAGCAGCCTGTGCCGGTGTTTGACTTAGGAGAGGGCATACTTTTGAACACACTCATGCCAAGTTACAGGCACTCAGAGACCTCCCACTGCTGGCTCACTTCTTTTTTTCTTCTTCACCAAGCCTGGGAACTCAGGGCTCGTCGCTCACCTGCAGCATGTCGGAACACTTTTTAATCTACAGGCTCTCCGCTCCAGGGAGTTATGGGAAGTAGCGAGATCTGAGCAATATGGAAAAAGAAGATCAATGAGATAATCTGCAGTGAGGGCGGCTGTATAATATTACTTGAAGGGGAGATAAGAAAATGCAGGCACATACAAACATGCACGTGTACATCATAGTGTAGTCGACATGGATCAGATCGTTCAGATAAAGGGATTAAATGACTGGCTGTCTGAGCAGTTACCTAATTGAAGATTTGCTGAAGAAGACTTAGGAATGCTTAGTGGGCCTTTTCTATTTTTATCTCAACACACCCTCACTGACCGATAGTAGTAAACATACTGCAATAGAGTCACAGCGAGTGTATTACTGACATAAATTCCATGAAGTAAGTCTGTTTTACCCTCTAAAATCTATGGAGTCACATGTAGGCCTAATACTGACGCAAAACTTTAAACACATAGCTATTCGCAAGAGAAAATGTCAGTGGTTAAAGAAAATATCTAGCCTATGCATGAGCTGTATTTGCAGTTTTACATACATTCTGCACAGAAAAGGTGAAATAGTTTTGCCTCTGTGTTCATGCATGTGCATTTTACGAGCTGCAAGTTATCCGCGGGCTCAGTGTCAGAGGTGCTGTCATGAGTTCACAGAGTGCACATTTGTGAATGAAGCTCCATTCCATTTATGGTGCTGGTGGGGCTGTCAAGACAAGTGGAACTTAGCGTGTTACTTCTATGGTTTCCTCTCTTCAGTTTCAGCTGTTATCTCTGCTAGTCAATGAATGGTAAAACCGAGCTCACTACAGCACATGTTGGAATGCTGTAATCATGATTCAGCCGCTCTTTGTGATAAAGCAAGCACGTATTTTATTAATGTAAATATTCAGTTATTTGTGCTTCAATTAAATTGTTGCCCTGCAGTCTGGGATATCAATGAGTGAGTGTTCAACATTGTTTGATTTCAACTCTCCTTATCTTTAACAGTTCATGTTAGCGGTGATTCATAAAGCTTTTGTGGACACTTGCGAAACTTTCCTGTTAACAAATAAAACTTTTACTTTTATGACTCTACAGGCTGTTGAAGGGTGCCGCCCTAAAACTGTGATCAGGACCGTTTATCACCATTTCCTGATTCATTTGAAGACTGGAGGCATTATAATCAGTATATGAGTCATGGTTTCAGGTAGCTTGTGTTTCTCATGTTATAATTGTTTTACAGTTGAGTCAGAGGATTGCTTTTCTTTTGTTTAACACATAAAAAACTCTGCAGCTTGTTTGAAAACACTCAGACACTTCCAGATTCCTCAGAGACACTTCTGTCCAACTGGAACAATAAACAATCTCTAGTATCAACAATAAAGACTTTCATTCATCAGACTTTCTATGACTTCTTTAGCCGAAAAAAAGATGACAACTTGCTCATTAATGTAGGCAATCCATATTAATGTTATTTAAATATTCACATGTTCCATACACATTTAAAAACACTGGGTAAAAAAGGAACTGCGCGGTCAACAGCATTATTGTTGCGTTACTGGTTAGAAAAAACAACCCTTTTGTTTGGTGGTTGTCGACTCATGGATAACTTAAACTTACATTGGTGCTACACTAGGTAACTTTAAGTTCAGTGATTTGAATTGTTTAAAACAAGTGATTTTCAATCAGAAGTCCAACTGCTGCACACAAGATGTGTCCTACATCACACTGGAAGTCCATTCTCAGTGTGATGTATGTGACCCAGAAGTTTCAGGTTGCAGGTTGGAACATGATTTGCCATTTGAGACGTCACAAATCATGCTCACGCATACTTGTGTAAAAGTCAGATTAAAGGTGAGCACTGCCTCTTCAGCAGACAAATATACTAAAGTGTAGCATTCAAAATATGATTTGTTCCAGCACTGTAGAAATGATAACTAATCATTTGGACATGAGAAGCACAAACTGGGCTTTTCAGAGGTTGGTGACGACTCTGGAGCCACGCTGGATTTGAATGCAGGTGAGAAGTCACACCTGATCTCTGCAGCCAGGATTGAGGCTGGAGGTGCGAATTAGCCCGCTTGTTTCTCACCTCTTGGTGTAAAACGCAAACAATGCGGCCGCTGCCAAGTGAGAGTGAGGGATTTAGCAAGTGGAAGATTGTTGAATGGGAGCGAGCAGACCGCTGGCGCTGGTGAACAAACAGAACAGCCACATCAAAGGGAGGGGCGTGAACCCAGCCCGGACCCCGACGATGAGGTCAGACGTTGGGACATTTTCCTACACTGAAAAGCTGGGACGATGGTGATTGTAAAGGGAATTATTATAATGCAAGTTATTTCTTTTAATAAATTGTTCCATGGAATATTTATCATTGGCTTGTTGGACTTTATACTGATTTAAAACAGAGGCTTTTTACCCAATTTGTTTGATTTGAATGATTCGACATCGCTTCGCTTCAAAAGGGTCACAAGTCAAAAAAAGGGGTGAAAGTAAATCAAAACAATAACTTTTCTTTTAATGATAATGTCCTTTGTTATTGGCTATCCTTAAACGTTTCAGAGCAAGTGAAAATAGAGAATGTCAAGCAAGGTTAAACTGACATTTAACAGGTTTACTGGGCTGTAAAGAATCACAGCACATTGTGAAGCGACTCCCAAGCCAAATTAAAACCAGAGATAAAACACAGGAAAAATAGACAAATATGGACTTTACTTAAATTAAAAAACAATTCAAACTTTGGCGGAAAATTGTGCATTCATGAAGGACTTATCACTCCAAGTATGTGATGCTGATTGAGGACTTTAAACCACACGTTTTGGGGGATTTCCCTTTTAGTATCACATTTCACATAGTGTGTGATAGATAATCAAAGTTATGATGTGACACTTTACAGAGATGAATGATAAACGTATTGTTTGTGTGTGTTAAATGGTCCTGTATAGGATTTAGTGGCACAGTGGTGGGAAACTCAGTCAGCCTTAACTGATCGGGGAGTAAGGGTTGACATTTTTTCTTTGTTTTCTGGTTGGGCATTACTGGTTCATTTATTACCTGAAGTCATGTAGTAATTCTGCTTGGGATGTGAAGCATGACAGCGCGTTCCTGTACCTATGGAAGTAAAGGGTGTGGGAGTTGACGGAGATTTATTTTAATGAGGTTTGAGTTTGTTTAACCTTCTCACTCTCTTCACATACAACCCTGGCGTCACATGAAAGTGAGCAAAAGAGAAAATCAGACAGCTTGACCTGGCACAGTCAAAAGAGTGATATTATGAGTTTGTGAATGTTAAGGGGGGTTAAAGAGTTTAAAAAGTGACGGTGGCAGAAGGGGATCCAGTCCAGTGAGCATGACTAACCACTTAGCTGACCACATACAAATGTTTCTGTGTGGCTAACAGAAGGGAGAGGGAAGTATGTAAAGTCCAGGACATAAACCAACTGGAAGTGGCACACAGTCACAAGACTATTTGCCCTCGAGCAAGGCACTTGCCTACTTAAGCTGCTGCCAGAATAATGTAGTGTGTGTTTAAAGGAACAGTTTTTGGGATATACTCTTGACAATACTTGAAAAAAAAGAAGACCAACACCACTTTACAGAACATATGAAGCTAGCTGGTAGATGATTAGCTTAGCTTAGCATAGAGACTACAAACAGGTGGAAACAGCTGGCCTGGCACTTTCCAAAGTTAACAAAAGTTTGTTTATCAGCAATTGTAAACCTCATTAATCAACTTTAAGTGTAACCCTAACCCTGGTCTCAAGTGTTAACTTCCTTGAATCTTCGCTGGTTACCTTGGAATAACTCCCACACCAAAAATAGTCCCACATGTAACCCATCATATAAACAGACTATGATGGCCCATTCAAGTTTCTTCAACCTTTTGTCGCTATTCGGCTATGATAACATTCTAATAGCTAAGATTTGGCAACATAGTGACATTTCTAAAATAATCATCCGGTTCTAATGCATCAGACTTATTTTAAATAATGTTGCTGCCTTCCCAGATGCCAGTAATTACTCTGGGATTTTGGTGATTGTTTGTATTGCTAATAATGACATTTTATTCACCAGTTGTAATAAAACATAAGATAGATGTAAGACATTTTAAAATTGGCAATAACTGGAAATTCTGCACCCTATTCATAAAGGCGATACATCTGCTCTGTGTTGGGGTTAGGTTTGAGTAATAAGTGGGGATTTAGTGTCTAGTGTGCGTAATTGACCCTTGTGAGGTGTGAGAAGCTCATGTTCAGATTAAACGCTTTCACTCTCTGCAGCTGTAAGGCAGCCATGCAGAACACCCAGAACCGGCTTTAGTATAAAGCTCGCTTGTTGTTCTCTAAGAATAACACACACACATGTAGTAAACATCTGCTAGCGTAACATTTTATTCAGACAAGTGTGGACATTTTTCAGAACATACAACAGTGTAAAGTGATGGAAAATACATACATTGACTAAGCAACAAATTATGCAGCTTAATAAAGTATTGCAAAACAAATGTATTCCTCTTTTACCTGGTTGTGTTATACTTTAATTAATATGGTACAACATTCCCATGACCCCAGCAACTCAGGTCAAGTTGGAACCATTTGAGTTGTCTAACCCTAACCCATTTTTCAAAGAGTATAAATATGGATAACTTTCAACCTTTATGATACATTAAACACATAATTGTATGCATTTCAAGTGGGCAAACGGCAGTGAAAAGCCTTATTCAACCCCTTAAAGGTAGGGTAGGTAATTTTGGAGAAACCAGGTCGAGTGCGCTAGAATTTGAAAATACACAGCCGGAAAAAATCTGCCACTTCCTTACAGAGCCCCTCCTCCAACACACACGAACGCGCACATGACCAATGAGGGCACGAGATAAGTTTGTGCACAGATGGAAGGCTGACAGGCAGGTAGGCCATCCAGTTATTTTAGCCGGGCCGGCTAAAATGATTGGTCGTGCTTTTTACAGCACCACGGCTTCCACAGATGACATTTTTTAATGGATTTTTCGTCAAAGCACTTAAGATATTCATTGCTATCGGGATGTTAAGAGCATTCCATGGAATATAACAAAAAGTGTATCTCGAGCCGGTTTCTCAAACTTACCTACCCCACCTTTAACTTGTGATCAGCACTGTCTTTTTAAGGAGACCAGTGTGGCAGTTGTAACACTAGGTACTTCCCGACCACAATGCAGATCACCACAGGGGCCCATTCAGGGTGTATCTGTGTCATCTCAAAGAAAGGGGGAAGTAGATATCGTATGCAGTATGTGCGAGTGTGTGTGTACCATACAAAAGGGTGAAACCAAGTCCAACACTGACTGCTTCCACCTTTGCATCCTTCCCATTCAGATCAGTATCTTCATGAGTGCAACAGCTGCAGCAGACCCTGGGACTGCCTGAGGGTCTGCAACACCACCCACCCTGCAAAAGAGAAAAGAGATGTTTAGGTACTGATATGATACCAACTTACGTTTCATTATGCAAGTAAAACTTTCAACTCAAACGCAAATGAGCGGCTCCTTTCTTTATGAGTAGTGGTGCTAGTACATTTGGCGGGAAATTAAGAAGAAGAAAAAATGACAAGCAGCATTCATTTTTTTCTACCTTCACAGTGGTGAAATAAAAACCTTCATCGAGGTTGTGAGGTTCAGTTTTGGCTGAAGCTGTTATAGAGAAGTGTTGGTAACAGTGGTCAGTTAGAGGATGTAGTAGGTGTTGTATTATAATGAGAAGTGTTTCTAGTATACAATGATATCATAGATATACAATTGTGTACCCAAGGAACTATTTGCGGCTTGCTCCAGCTCATAATTGAAGTTGTATTTATATACTCTAACCCAAGACTCTGGGATATATGTCCTGTGTGTCTCTATACATGTCCTGTGTGTCTCTCCCCAAAACACAGCCTGCCATCTTTGGCATCTCCCAGAATTAAGGTTAATGTGGGCTTTGAACCTGGTTCAATCTGTGTTCATTTCAGCCGGCTCCCTGATGGTAAAACCACATGACAGATCACAGCAGCTCCTGGTTGTAAAGCCAAGGGCACCATTTGAAAGAAGTGGCACTCCTGTCGTAATAGACAGCTCTTGGCGACGGCTGGAATTCTCCTCCACTTCCTGTCGCTGCACCTAAGCTGTGTGAGCGAGCATCTGTTGGAGAACGTCACTTTGGAATGCTAGAACGTAAAACACACAAAGCCTTATGCTCAGGTAACAACACCACAGGGTTGGTAGTAAGTGTAATTTATTACATGTCCTGAGGGGAATGTCTGAGCCAAACAAGCTTTTGCATGAAGTGGTTTTTAGTAAAATCCCAAGAAATATGTGACAGACAAGGATGCTCTTTTTCCTGGAAACTGTTCATCCTGTGATTCAGTATTGTAGTCCCAAAATGTTTGGAGTGACAGATCAATACAATTATAAAAATGTAGGCAATAGAGGACAAGATATCCTGACTTTTAGATCCTACATTTCCCTTAATGACAAATGGTGTGCCACTTTCTAGGTATGTTCCAGTGAAAGCCAATACAAACTGAAAACAATCAGCCTTTTACAGTTCATTTAAAAAAGGTCATGCCTTTTTGCTGCTAACAGATGTTGTGCTTGAATCACTCCCATTGTAAGACTATTATATGGTTCACACAGAGATCGACTTCTTGGGCAACTGTGCCACAGTAATAAAAAACAGCAGCGTGTCAAAGAAAATGTATTTTCAGGGGGTAAAAAAAAATTAATGAGAAATGTGGGCGAGGTTGTAACCGACACGATCCTGCCCCACTGCCAGCTCATGTGTTCTCACTCTATTTGTGGACGTTTGGTATCTGAGCGTGGCCCGGCTAAAACCGGCACTGAGCTCAAACCCGCTCAGACACATGAACCTTTACAGTGTGCAGCTCTTATGGACACACACTCCTATCTGCTCTGAACTTGCATTTATGCACCACTGCTATTTATACATGATAAGCAGCACCCAACTTCACTGCTGCCAAAACAATGAGGCATGCAGAGGAGGTTTGTGACATTTCCCAGTGTGACTTTGCCTCGCTGTGGGAAATCCCATTTCATCTGATTAAACCAGGTCATTTGATAACAACGGCGCTCGGAGGGATAGTCTCGACTACAATAGGTCATAAAGGGAACCGGCTGGCTGGCTGGCTGGCTGGCTGGCTGGCTGGCTGGCTGCTGTCCATACACAAATATAATGCCATGACACCAGCAGATTTTGTCAGCAGTAGAAGCAACACATTACACTGGGATCACCAACCGACATCATGTCGAATGTAACTTTATCATCTGAAAGAGGAATATGGTCCCAGAATGTGCAGCAGATACAGAAAGTAAAAGAGGAAGAAAACTGCAGTCATTGTCTCAGGAAGCTTTGTCAACAAGCATAAAGCAATACATTCAAATGTCTTATTCTTCGGCCCACCAGACCACACACACACACACACACACACACACACACACACACACACACACACACACACACACACACACACACACACACACACACACACACACACACACACACACACACACACACACACACACACACACACACACACACACACACACCCACACACACACACACACACACACACACACACACACACACACACACACACACACACACACACACACACACACACACACACACACACACAACTGAAAAATATATACGCTCTGAAGGAAGATGTGGAAAAGCAATGCTCAAGACTGGACAGAGAGCCAAAACAGAGAGAAAGATATGCATTTGGAAATGTAACTGACTAAGCGTGGATGCTAAGTCTCATAAGCCATTTAGTTAAAGTGATCCCACACTCCAATACATGACTGGTTAATAGGTCATGGAGGATATGAGATCTGCAATGAGCTGCTTCAAACTAGTTGAATAAAAGCAACGTCAGCCCCTTGGAGTCACCAGTTACTAAACTTGTCGACGTCCAGCTGCTTCGTATTGCCGCTGTAACGCGACCCATCAGGAATGTTCAGCAGTGCCAACGCTAGCAGCCGCAGCTACGACGGTGATCTGCAACACGTCTTTTATCGACAACAAGCTCATTACTTGAAAACCTCTTGACCGGACTGACAAACAAGAGGGCCACAGACGACAGACACAACCCTGGAGAGCGGTCAAAGGTCTGACCTTGACTGTTCTGGGTTTGAAAGACCACCTGAAGTTAACTGATCTTAACCATGATATTTTAACACCCCAGAAAAACGACTGTTAGTAAATAGCAAGGCTAGACATTAGAGTGACGTTTGGAATATTCAGAAACCTTGTCACATTGCGCTGCTTGATGCTGAGTTCAGGGCCTTCCTCAAAAGCTCAAGCCTAATTAGCACTTTGAATTTCAGAGATGTACCCACTGACACATTCACAGACAGGCAGCTGCTCCAGAGGAAAGCCAGCAGGCAGAAGAGGAGCTGTTCAGTAATGGGGCACTTCCTAAAATCATCCTTTAACAAAGTGGAGATTTCTCCACAAACTGTTCTCCAGTGGAAGTGTGCTACATCTTTCTCTGCCAGAACCAGAAATAAATTGGCACAGACTTCTCAGCTACTCTTTGTAATGAGTCAGCATTGCTAATGTTTCTCTTCACACAGCTGCTAAACTCAATTTTCTTTTGCCAAGGACCACACATATTAAAGACTAGGGGGGCATTTTTACTGTCTCTTCCTGTCTCTCTTTCAGTCACATGAAGAGATACAAATGAGTCCACAAGGAGAAATGAATACACTTTTTTATTCCTTTGAAATCTGTTAAATCGGATAGAAACTAACAGCTGATGGAGTGGCGTGACGAATCAGGCTGCTATCAGGTTCAAGGTGCGTGGAGAGCCCCCCCCCACACTCCATCCTCGATGTCTTTTTACTCTAGGAGCCAGTGAAGTCATCACAGCAGCTGCGGCTCTCCCATAGAGGCCGAGTGAAAGGTCGTCCCTCCAGCTGAGGGTTGTAAATTCAAGACGTAAAACGGGGAAGACGTACGCTCCATTCAACAGGTGCAAATCCAGAATGAATGCTCACACGTCTTTTTTCTTCCTCTAAAGGAGCGAGGACAAAGAGGAGCGAGACAGGAGCATTCAGCCAGGAGAACTTACGACTCTTAAACTGCCTTAATTACAACAATGATAGTCTTTAATGAAACCGCTGCAAATCAAAGAGGGCCGACAGAAACTTGGCCCGTTTCACTCGTTTTGCAGCTATAATTTCTGTGTGAATGCAACACGTGACCAATGTAAACAATCAGACACCTATATCTGACGCACAACATCAACGGGATATCAAGTGAAACCAGAAGAGAGATGTAAACCCTGGCCACGTCCGTTTGCAGAGCGCTGCACTTCTCAACTTCCTCTTAATAAAATATCTGTAACATGAGCGGCAAACTAATGAAAGTGAAATAGTGACCATGGTTGTCGTTTGCCGTCAGACAACAGGAGATGAATAATGAATGAATGTTTATGTTCTAACATTCTGTTTTCGCTGATACACATTTCATTTCCTTACCATTTCACAGCATAATCAGTATTCCAAATGAGTGTACACACCCTGAGGTATTAGTTTGTGCTGTCCTGCAAACATGCTCAAATTATGTTTTATTAAGTGTTTTTCCCAATTGGGAGGCATTTAATTGAAGTGATTCATTATTTAAAAAGCAGAAATGCAGCACAAATGGCCTATTCTATAGTAAATTAGATACTCAAAATCCTTCTTTGGATCATGCTAAACACTTCCATTAATTATCATTCAAATGGACCAGTACTTAATCCTGCTGAATAGTCAAAAAATTAAATTCCTCCTAGGCAATAACGTTTTTTGTTTTGTCCCTGATTAAGCAAAGCATCAGCACTTCCATTAAAACTTCACAAACAATCACATTCCCTAATATTTGAGAAATAAATACTTTCATTTGTATAATCTGCTGTGTCCGTTCTCAATGGGTTCTCTGAAAAACTCACTTCCTATTCTAGATTTGCTATTAGTCTCCCAGACATGACTCTTCTCCAATTAGGTGACTTCCTCAATAAACTTCTGTTCACATGGGATGAAGAGATAAAACGATGGGAAGATGCATGATGTCTGCGTCATGGGAGAACTGGAGAGGGTTGTGTTGTTGCAGAGTTGATCATGTGAGGGTTATAAAATACTGTACATCGACAGTATAGTAGGGTTGACTAATTGATTAGTCAGATGAATTGTTTAAGAAATGTTTTCAATTACATATTTGTTGGTTCCTGCTACAGGAATGTAAGAACTTTCTGCCCTAAAATATAAATATCTATGGATTTTTTACCCTAAGTCAGACATAAAAAGGACTATGAAGACGTTCCTTTAGGTGATTTTCACTAATTACATATACCGACCCAAAGAATCATGATATATTCATTAAGTAAGGGTTTTATTATATTAAAGAAG